GATAACCTTGAGTGGCGAGGTCAATCACCTTGAGTGGCTAGGTCAATCACCTTGAGTGGCGAGGTCAATCACCTTGAGTAGTGAGGTCGATCACCTTGAGTGGCGAGGTCGATCACCTTGAGTGGCGAGGTAATCACTTTGAGTGGCGAGGTCGATAACCTCGAGTGGCGAGGTCGATCAGCTTGAGTGGCGAGGTCAATCACCTTGAGTGGCGAGGTCGATCACCTTGAGTGGCGAGGTCAATCACCTTGAGTGGCGAGGTCGATCACCTTAAGTGGCGAAGTCAATCACCTTGAGAGGCGAGGTCAATCACCTTGAGTGGCGAGGTCGACAACCTTGAGTGGCGAGGTCGATCACCTTGAGTGGCGAGGTCGATCACCTTGAGTGGCGAGGTCGATCACCTTGAGTGGCGAGGTCGATCACCTTGAGTGGCTTGGACGATCACCTTGAGTGGCGAGGTCAATCACCTTGAGTGGCGAGGTCAATCACCTTGAGTGGCGAGGTCGACAACCTTGAGTGGCGAGGTCGATCACCTTGAGTGGCGAGGTCGATCACCTTGAGTGGCGAGGTCGATCACCTTGAGTGGCGAGGTCAATCACCTTGAGTGGCGAGGTCGATCACCTTGAGTGGCGAGGTCGACAACCTTGAGTGGCGAGGTCGATCACCTTGAGTGGCGAGGTCGACAACCTTGAGTGGCGAGGTCGATCACGTTGACTGGCAAGGTCGATAACATTGAGTGAACAGGTAAATAACCTTGAGTGACTCAGCAGATAACCCGATAAGCGTTGAAAGCCTGGCTGATGCTGAAAACAGCGCTATGATCCTTCTTGCCTTTATGCACACAGAGACACACCCACAAAAAACATACGCAGACACACACACACAAAGACACACACACACACACGGAGAGACACACAGAGACAAACACACAAAGACATATACACACGGTCATACACAGGGACTTACACAGATACACACAAAAACACACATAGATTCAGACACGCAGTCATACACACATACACCCAGGGACACACGGACACACACAAACAAACAGTCACATACACGTCGACACAGACACACCCAGATAGAGACATTCACACACAATCACACACACAGTCATACGCGCAAGTGGACACACAGGCAGACACACACATACACTCAAAAACGTTTACAATTACCCATACAAACACTCATACAAACACAAACACGACTACAAATAAATACCACACATGTACATGCAAAAAAGTATTTTTATTCTGTCAAACACTAACTGGTTAAAGGTTAAGTACCAGGTTTAAAAAAACCGCCAGGTGCAGACCGAACAAAGACATATGCTACCTACAACTGGGTCGGCTGCACTAATGAAAGATCTAGGAACTTTTTAAAGAGCTTTATCGGGGTCTTCATCCAATGGCAACAACGGTGATCAATATAAAAGATAAAGAACCCTTTTGCACGCCTTTCGGGCGTATTGGGTACATAGGGCTGGACCTATATTTCATAGACCAACGGCACTTTATGGGTGATGTGGTCAGCATCATGCCGGCCGCCTTTACTTCCTAGGACTGCACCTGGTACCCACTCAAGGCTGGGTCGACCTGGGAGCCAGGGTCATTTTTTTTAAAGTCCGGCTCCGCCAAGGAGCGAACCCGCGACCTTCCGTTCCGCAGGCGAGCGTCTAGCCGCTAGGCCACGGCGACTCCCGGATAGTTACGAACTGGTGTTTCTCTCATCTGTTCCTGTCCCGAATAGTTACGTAGACTGGGTTTTCTCTCATCTGTTCCTGTCTCCGCCCGTGTTCCCGACTACTTTGTTGTACTCGTGGTCAGTATGAAACACTAAACGTCACTATCTGAACATTAAATTCGACTAAATAGAGTTGGCAAGTCACTGGTATCCTCATTCTGTAGAGTCCTCAAGCTGCACAATCATCAAGCAGGACTATCCTCAACCCGGACTATCCTAAACTGGACAATCCTCAACCCGGACAATCCTAAACTGGACAATCGTGAATCGACATAATCCTAAAGCTGAACAATAATGAAGCTGCACAATCCTGAACAAGACCAGTCCGCTAAAAGGAAATTCTACATGAAATATTGAACTACATTGTATTCACATGCTTCTGTCTGTCTGTCTGTCTGTCTGTCTGTCTGTCTGTCTGTCTGTCTGTCACTGTCTGTCTGTCTGAACTCAGAGACGACAGTTTCAGTATCTGTGTCAACAGTCTTCGCTCGGCAGCCCGAGTGGCTTCCAGGGCCCCAGTGCGGTAGACCCACTAATTCCTAATAAGCGTGCCTGTTGGGAAATAGGTTGCGTTATCACACGGCTGTATACACCATTTCACCAACTGCCAAGTTGCTAGGTCTTATGATTAATTGAGGTTATTCCTGCCTGGCACTAGTGGAGTCTGTGAGAAACCAGGAGCTGATTGAGGAAACCATCATAAATCACAACAATCGATATGGTTTTATAGTGCAATCGGTCTCATTGTTGTGGACCAACACATGATGATGATGAATTCGTGATGTAAGACGAACAAGTTGTCTCTCGACCGTTCTCATTGAACTAATTGATCACTCAATAAATACCGGAACAAGTCCAAGCAATTCTCAGACAACCACTTGGAGACCATAAGGTTCGCACCTGAAGCACAAATAAGATTCACGTATGCTCTGCTAGCCCACTAGGCAGGAACAAAGTCCGAACAGTTCTCCCAGTCTCAACAACTGGACAGAACACGATACATCTTTGCACTCTATGTCCTGTGGTAATGGTAATGATAATGTTAGTTTCAACTTCATAGCAAATAGGTCACCCCATAGTTGCTCCGCCCCTGTGCCTAGGAAAAACACACAGAATGTTCATCACAGTCCCTTGTGGGGAGATTGACAGACTGCTGTCTCAGCATATGCACCAGCATACACACACACATTAAAAGCATGCGGTAGCCATCCGAAGTGCAAACACAAACAGTCTGACACCAGAGATGCAGTTGATCATTGACGGTAGCAGAGGTAACCAACAAATCAGCAGTTGCGAACGCGATCAATTTTAATCACATAAGGGCACCACCAGTATTACGACGACAGGCCACGCGCCATTTTCTAAATCTACAATTCACAACACCACGTTCGTCACAGTCGAAAAACATTCCAAATCTTCTTCTTCTTCACGTTCACCAGCTGTACACTCTGGCGGAAAGTTCTGGTTGCTCGTCCACTACTGAACTGCAGTCCTGCTCCAGAACCTGAGTGTTGCGTGTGCATCAGTTTTACAGATCTAATTCTCTTGAATACAGACTGTTGGTTCCTTGCCTCTCCGGCAGATGCACTCCGACTTCAAAGGAATCTCCCCAGTTAGTCGACTCTTACGACATGCTTTTGGGGAGGCAGTGGGTCTATTCTTGTTTTCCCCACAATGGGACCCCGGAACCCACACGGGGGACATTCCAAATGAAATCCGTAGCTCACAGGGTCGCGCCATGCACTCAACTCAATATCTGGGCGACGAAACTATATCCTTTGACAAATGGAGCAAAAATGCAACGGCCCCGTCTGTCAGAAGCAAAAACTTTGCAACGTCTTCAAACAGCGTCCATTTTTACGGGAAGTCCTCTATGTCCCGATGGCTGCTAGGGGAACATCTTGTCCCATAGCGCAAAATCCACCTTTCACTGATAACCATGACCATCCTCTGGCTAATCTCTATCCCAGAGACCCCGCCATCTGAGGACTTACTTTAGTCGCACCATCCAGAACGTCGCCTGATACCTTGTCACACTTGGAAGTATCCCCTGGCACCTCTCCATCCTAGCCTCACATTGGTTTCCACAGACATTTACCACAAGTCAACCAGCGTGACACACAGATGCACCAATGCTGGCCAAGCCTTACTCCATCTTCCGATGAACATCTACACTGAACATTCAAAACTCCATTTCTAATAAACCAAATTCAAATAAACTGTGCAGACACTCCGAGAAAACAAAAAACATGATAAAAACGGCACACAGCACAAACAAGCGTCCTAACTCATTCACTGACTGAAGGCTACTGACTCCGACTACTACGGGATTAATCTACCAGTGGTCACTCTCACGTGGGTCTGGCCATACCCGTGGAATCCGTAAATCTTACACAAAACGACTTCCACGCTCTTTCAGTGGCCCGAGTATCCACCCTCACTTCCCACTTAGTTCACTCATCACACGAAAAGTAGTGCGTACTTTCCCACTCCCTGACCACTGGCAAAAACGCCCATTTAGCACACAACAAATTCGTAATAGTAGAACAATTTGGGGGTGGGGGGCATCCTTCAGAGTCGGAATGCATCTGCCTGAGAGGCAAGGAACCAACAGTCTGTATACAGATAATTCAGATCTGTATAAACGGACGTGCACGCAAACTCAAGATCCAAAATAAGATCCGGAAAACAAGAACCTTCCGCTGGAGTTGAGAGCAGGTAAGCGGGAGGAAGAATATATTCCGGTCACATAGACACGGTTGTATAGTGTCAGTCAATCCGTGTAGAAGTTGTACACATGTAGATGCCACACTACACACGACATACGCACGCACATACCCAACACAAGCACTCTAAATGCAGGACGCATCACAGAACTCTCGAAGACACACGAACACATACACATCGCATACACACATAACTCAACACCGACTCTGTGTTCAGACGCAAACTCATAATAACATGGTCGCAGACGTAATTCCACACACACACATACACACACACATATACACACACACACACATACACACACACATTCACACACACATATATATATTTATATAAATATATATGTACACACACACACACACACCACATACCACATACACACTGCCTACAGTCCTGACAGTAACGTGGAAGTCATGTGTGCCTTATCTAGCGCAGCCCAGCTGTCTCAAGTCAGTCCTTTCACTGGCGGGTCTCGTGACAGCTTCAGTCATTGCTCTCCAGCTTGGACAGAGACCAGATATCGCACAATGTCAGTCAGTACTGTAAGTATTTGTTGTCTCTTCTAGTCGTGTTTATGATGTTCTTCATTGACTTATGTACCTCGGCCTTCTTCTTGTGCCATGCTGGTTCCAGCGAAAGGACATACTTGTCATAATATTACCAAGTTCATTAAATGCGAGGATGAGTTGTATCATCTAGTGCTCATACAATGGGATGTGTGCGGTATTTGCTTCTCTCTCTCGTGTGTGGGATATTTATATTACTCTCTCGTGTGTGGGATATTTATTCTACTCTCTCTCGTGTGTGAGAGAGTTGTCCCATGCTCTCATGTGTGAGATATTTATTTCACTCTCTCGTGTGTGAGATATTTATTTCACTCTCTCGTGAGTGGGAAAGAGGCTACATGCTATCAATAGTGAAAGAGTTATGTTTGTCTCATGCTCTCATTTATGGGAGAATTGTCTCATATTGTCTCGTGTTCTCGTGTGGGGAAGAGTTGTCACATGTGTGAGAGAGTACCCTCATGCTCTGATGTGTCAGAGAGTTGTCCCAAGCTCTCATGTGTGGGAGAGTTGTCCCATGCTCACATGTGTGGGAGAGTTGTCCCATGCTCACATGTGTAGGAGAGTTGTCTCATGCTGTCATGTGTGAGAGAGTTGTCCCATGCTGTCATGTGTGAGAGAGTTGTCCAAGCTCTCATGTGTGGGAGAGTTGTCCCAGCTCTCATGTGTGAGAGAGTTGTCTCATGCTCTCATGTGTGGGAGAGTTGTCTCATGCTCTCATGTGTGAGAGAGTTGTCCCATGCTCTCATGTGTCAGAAAGTTGTCCCATGCTCTTATGTGTATGAGAGTTGTCCCATGCTCACATGTGTGGGAGAGTTGTCTCATGCTGTCATGTGTGAGAGAATTGTCCCATGCTGTCATGTGTGAGAGAGTTGTCTCATGCTCTCATGTGTGGGAGAGTTGTCCCAGCTCTCATGTGTGGGAGAGTTGTCCCAGCTCTCATGTGTGAGAGAGTTGTCTCATGCTCTCATGTGTGGGAGAGTTGTCTCATGCTCTCATGTGTGGGAGAGTTGTCTCATGCTCGCATGTGTGAGAGTTGTCCCAGCTCTCATGTGTGGGAGAGTTGTCCCAGCTCTCATGTGTGGGAGAGTTGTCTCATGCTCTCATGTGTGAGAGAATTGTCCAATGCTCTTATGTGTGGGAGAGTTGTATCATGCTCTCATGTGTGAGAGAGTTGCCCCAGCTCTCATGTGTGAGAGAGTTGTCTCATGCTCTCATATCTGGGAGAGTTGTCCCATGCTCTCATGTGTGAGAGAGTTGTCACAGCTTTCATGTGTGAGAGAGTTGTCCCAGCTCTCATGCGTGAGAGAGTTGTCCCAGATCCCATGTGTGAGAGATTTGTCCCAGCTTTCATGTGTGAGAGAGTTGTCCCAGCTCTTATGTGTGAGAGAGTTGTCCCATCTCTCATGTGTGAGAGAGTTGTCCCAGCTCTTATGTGTGAGAGAGTTGTCCCAGCTCTCACGTGTGAGAGAGTTGTCCCATGCTCACATGTGTGAGAGAGTTGTCCCAGCTCTCATGTGTGAGAGAGTTGTCCCATGCTCACATGTGTGAGAGAGTTGTCCCAGCTCTAAGGTGTGAGAGAGTTGTTCCATGCTCTCAAGTCTGGGAGAGTTTTCTCATGCTCCTATGTGTGGGAGAGTTGTCCCATGCTCTCATGTGTCAGAGAGTTGTCTCATGTTCTTATGTGTGGGAGGGCTGTCTCACGCTCTTATGTGTGGGAGAAGTGATTCATGCTCTTATGTGTGGGAGAGTTGTCTCATGCTCTTATGTGTGGGAGAGTTGTCTCATGCTCTGTTGTGTGGAAGAGTTGTCCCAGCTCTCGTGTGTGAGAGAGTTGTCCCATGCTCACATGTGGGAGAGAGTTGTCCCAGCTCTAAGGTGTGATAGAGTTGTTCCATGCTCTCATGTATGGGAGAGTTGTCCCATGCTCTCATGTGTGGGAGAATTGTCCCATGCACTCATGTGTCAGAGAGTTGTCTCATGTTCTTATGTGTGGGAGAGCTGTCTCATGCTCTTATGTGTGGGAGAAGTGTCTCATGCTCTTATGTGTGGGAGAGTTGTCTCATGCTCTTATGTGTGGGAGAGTTGTCTCATGCTCTTATGTGTGGGAGAGTTGTCTCATGCTCTTATGTGTGGGAGAGTTGTCCCATGCTCTCATGTGTGGGAGAAGTGTCTCATGCTCTTATCTGTGGGAGAGTTGTCCCATGTTCTCATGTGTGGGAGAAGTGTCTCATGCTCTCATGTGTGGGAGAGTTTTCCATGCTCTCATGTGTGGGAGAGGTGTCCCATGTTCTTATGTGGGGAGAGTTGTCTTATGCTCTCATGTGTGGGAGAGTTGTCTCATGTTCTAATGTGTTGGAGAGTTGTCCCATGCTCTCATGTGTGGGAGAAGTATCTCATGCTCTTATGTGTGGGAGAGTTGTCTCATGCTTTCAGGCGTGAGATATGTGCATCATGCTCTCGTATGCGAGAGAGTTGCCTGATGTTGTCATTGTTGCAGTCTCCCAAGGTGGTTGTCATCGGTGCGGGAGTCAACGGGCTGGCATGTGCAGTCTGTATCCAGAAATGTTGTCCAGAGGCGCAGGTTGAGATTGTGGCAGAGAACTGGTCACCTAACACAACATCGGAAATTTCCGCTGGATTCTGGGGGCCGTATGTTGTCGGTGACACAGACCCCGAGGTTATCAAGTAAGTTGGGGGGGGGGGGGGGGGGGCCGGGGCGGTCGGCACTCTTTCAGCTTGTGTGAACGTACCTCATGTCTATGGAGGCAATTTATGTGTGTATGTGTGTGTGTATGTGTGTGTGTGTACATACGTCATGTCTGTTAATGTAATCTTCGTGTGTGTGTGTGTACATACGTCATGTCTGTTAATGTAATCTTTGTGTGTGTGTGTGTGTGTACATACGTCATGTCTGTTAATGTAATCTTTGTGTGTGTGTGTGTGTGTGTGTGTGTGCGTGTGTGTGTGTGTGTGTGTGTGTGTACAGACGCGATATCTGTAGTTGTGATCTTTATGTTTTTATGTACATAGGTCGTGTCTTTCCAAGTAATCTTTATATTTTTGTGTACATACGCCATGTCTGCAGTTATAGTCATCCTGTTTGTTTGTACATACGTCAGTAGTAGTATAAGAAGAGCTAAAGCACCCGTATTCTCTTGGGTTTTTTTGCACTTTAGGCTATACTAATAACCCTCAGCATTGAAAACAGAGGGGAAAAAACGACTTCCCTCACCTCCAGGATGGAACCCTCAACATGGGACAAAGAAGAAAAACCCTCCGGAAATGTGAGGGAACCCTCCAGATAAAGGAAAACCCTCCCTCTCTCATGAGAGGGTTAATGGTTGCTTTTACGTGGTTGTGAACGTGCTTCGGAATCCTGATGTGCTGGGTTCGACCCCTTTGACGTGTATGAGAGATCATCATATGTATTATTGGCTATTGATTTATGTATTTTAGTAGAGGTAATTTTTAGAGGTTTTATTAGCTGTGAACTCGCTTCATAATCCCATGGTTGGACCTATTTGACCACATACTCATGACATTAATGCCCCCGAGACAAAGTGGGGTGTAGTAGTAGATAAACACCCGATGACACAAAGTGCCGCCATGTGGATGAGGATTACCCTGGAGTGGTCACAGAAACCGCGTTCAGCCATTAGACCATATTTATGGTCAGGTTATATTACGGCCACTGGCAAGAGTCAGAGTAAGGCTCCAAAAACGAAAATGTGCATCCTACAGGGAAATGACTGCATAAGTGAGGAGCACTGACTGACTGACTTACTTTCTACCCCACTAGGACTTCACACAAGCGATAACTACCCGATAACACAGTGTGCCACCATATGGGTGATGATCACTGTGGAGAGGTCCCAGAAACCGCGTTTAGCATTTAGGCCATATTTATGGCCATGTTTGCAGGCCCCGGGCAAAAGCCAGAGTAGGGCTTCGAATAACAAACAATTTAATCCTAAAAAGGACGGGAAATGATTACCGTTAACATGTGAGGAGCATAATCAGACGCACACTGATTAGGCCCCACGAAGGTACCGGGTGTCTAGTATCTGGTGGACAAAATTTGAATAGGCATTGTTTATAGAAGTAATTTATCTAAAAAAAAATAGCAAAATGGCGACCGTTATGTCATAGTGTTGGGCCCTGGCCAGACAGATATGGTTGAGCTGTAGTAAAAAGGAGAACTGTCATGCCATTTTGTTAGATGTCGCCGCTCAGGGAGGGTTTAAGTTTTAGATAAGAGGCGGTGCTACCAGGCGACGAATGGGGTTGGGGCTGTTTCAGGGTTTATATTGGAAAAATAACGCTAATGTTTGGTTTCGTTGAGGGTGTTAGACGCCGGCTGCTTAGAGAATTGTTAAGCTGAAGTAAAAAGAAGAATTTATTGCAAAACAGCGGCAGCTGTGTCATAGTATCGAATGCTCAGTGATGGTTTAAGCTCTTGTAAAAAAGAGGAGCATATGACAGAAGTTTTAGATGTTGGCACCTCATGGAGAGGCTTACGTTGCAAGAAAAATTTAGAACTTATGCTAAAGGGCAGGCAGCATGCCAGGGCAAATGTTGTTATGCCTTTTATAACAAAATATAAAAACGGAGTAAATTCAGTTGATGAGAAGACACAGTGTTAGAGGCAGATGTTCAGTGAGAGGGTCAAATCGGCATGTCGACTAGTTTAAGGAGGGGGTTATGCGCCGAGGGACACCATAAGTCACATAATGTACCTCGCAATGTAATCACTGATCTTTGTAAGTGATTCACTAAAGTTTCTAGGTAAGTTGTTCAGTGAACTTCATTAGTTGGTCACTAGTTTTCTTAAGTCATTCACAAACGTTTCCTACTGAGGCAACCACTAGACTCAGTCGGTTATGTGTATCATAAGGTGAACAGTGTCTTGGTACATATGAAATCGCCTGCTGTCTTCCTCGTTTGGGACACCCTAAGTCACACAAGACAATTCGAAAGCTGCTCACTAATCTTGGTAAGTCGTTTACTGAATCACTTTGGTAAGGCCGGCTACCATCTCAAGGACACCGTAAGTCATTCAACATCTTTCTTCTTTGGATATCCTAAATGGCTCAATGCGTGCAACAAACTGTCACTGGCTTCTTTTAACAAAGCTTCACTGATGTTCATTGGTAAGATGGTTACTGCTCTTAGGACAGCTTAGGTCACCTGCTGTCTTTCTCTCTGGGACACAGTCTAACACATTGTCAATCGTGCACGGAAGTTTCTTAGTAACTCAGCCACGATAACTGGGTCAGCTTAAGTCATTTGATGTCTTTATCATTTTGGAAATTTTAAGTCACGCAGTGTCTTTTTTCGTTTAGGACACCTTAAGTCACACAAGAGCCTTCCTAAGTTGCTCATTGATCTTGCTAAGTCGTTTATGGAAGGTCCTTAGTAAGGTTGACCACTGTCCCTAGGTCACCTTAAAGCGTCCCATGCCTTTAGCTGTTAGAACATCTTAAGTTGCTCAATGTCTTTCTCGTTTGGGACAGCTTAAGTCACTCATTCACCAACCTTTCTTGGTAAGTCATTAATTAGCTTTGGTACTATTCAAGTCTCTAAGATGTATATTCTGTTGGGAAAACACTCGATGACTCTTCCTTTGAGACATCTTAAATTACACAAGGTATGGCACACGTCTTTCACCGGCTGTCCTTGACAACTCGGACACACAGCGACTTTCAGAAAACACAATGTAACATTCAGAAAACACAAGGCGACTTTTAGAAACCAGAGGATGACTTTAAGAAAACACAAGGTGACTTTTAGAAACCATAGGGCGATTTTAAGGAAACACAAGGCGACTTTTAGAAACCAGAGGGTGACTTCTAGAAAATACGAGGCAACCTTTAGAAACGAAAGGGTGACTTTTAGAAAGCACATGGCAACTTTTACAAAACATAAGTTGACTTTGACGAAACACGAGGCGACTTTTATACAACATAAGGCAACTTTTGAAAAAACACAAGACGACATTGTGACAAAAACATTGTTATTATTACTAACTTTTTTTTTTCATTAGGCATGTCAAATTGCTTCAAAACAGTCCTACTTTTTTTACTTGCCTTAAAGCGATTGTTGTCTTTTATCACGAGAACACTTTAAGATACTTGATGTCTTTTCTTTCTACTGTGTTTCACAAACTCGTCTAAACAACTAGTCGCCCTTGAAACAAGATGTCCAACCACCTGTTAGCCTGGTCGTCTACGAGGTTGTGTTATAAGAAACGTTGTCTTACTGTAAACACATAAAGCTTGTCGATGGTTCTTGAAGGAGTCTATCCTCTCCGGCTAACCAACTATGCGTCCCATCAATGGGCTGTCCGACGAAACTGTGTCCTATAGTCGCCCCCTTGGTGGTACCATACATGACTGTGCGAATTTTCACAAATTGAAAAGGACGATTTTGAAAGACAGTCTGTCCGTCTGACCCATAAGTCGTCCGCTCAACTACCTGTCTCACCTCTGTTTCCGAGGGCCATCTGCTTAGTTGCATTATAAGTGACTATACAGTTACAAGTCTTGTCAACTAGTTTTCATGGAGGCTATTGTGTCCCTCTAGCCAATAATTGTCCATTGAACTTGCTGTCCGACGAAACTGTTTCCCATACTCATGTGGGTCTGATCGTACCATAATGTACTAGACAAGTTTTCACAAACTAAAAGAACGATTTTAGAAGACAGGTTACCTGTCTAATCTTTGAGACGTCCCTTCCATTAGCTGGGCGACTATCTGTTTTTCCTGGTCGTCTACCAGAGGCGCCAAAAGTGACTGTACACTTACAAGTTTTGTCAATTATCCTTCACAGAAGCTATCTTACAAACTATTCGTCCCCTTCCACAGGCTGTCTGACTGACTGTAGTCAACAGGCTATCTGACTGACTGTTGTCAACAGGCTGTCTGACTGACTGTAGTCAACAGGCTATCCGACCAACTATCTCTCCAGTAGGCGTCCCCTGTGTTGTAGCATTGCTGACTTTGTCTTCCTATACACTTCCAAGTTTATTCAACTGTTGGAGTCGGAGGTTATCTTGTCATCTTACAAAAGGATAACGTGAATGATATTTTGAGAAAATACATAATAATAACATACAAAATAGTAAAGACGGGTCGCAGGGGCTGTGCCCCAACTAATGGTTGCTAGGTATGGTCTCTGTTTAAACATGCCCCTGTGTGTTTGAGAATAAATGAGCTATGTTTGTGTTTGAGAAAGAATGCAAGAATGACTCAATTGAATCAAAAAATTGTTTCATGAACAGAAAACACAGCTCGGTGACTCACGAATATCTGCTGCAACTGGCTCATTCACCACTGGCTGGAGATGTTGGCGTGCAGACGATATCTGGCTATTACTTGTACTACGATGTTGAACAGGTAAAACCAGGACACGTGTGCTGACAGAAGGAGTGTTTGACAACTAGTCTATTCTCTGCAACATTTTGTTATTGTAGAATTCATAAGCTTCTGCCAGTTGCGCTAGCTGCTGAGCTCTGATACAGCGCTGGCAAGTCTAATACAATGTTCTTGTGAATGTTAAAGGAATAATATAATGAATAATATGTTGAAAGGAATCAATAATACACGAATTGAATATTGCAAGGTGTAAATATTAAATGGAATACACATTGAAAGGAAAGTTTGGTGCTAGTAACATTTTCCGCTCACGAAAGAGAGTGACTTCCCTTCTCATTCATGCCTTGTCATGTTGCAGGGCCTTCCTATGTTGCGGGGGTGTTAGGCTTAGTGTGTGGCCAGCAACACGTATTTTACTCGCTGTTCTTAGCTGCCGGCTATATCACGTGGCTTATATTCCACAATGTGAGCTGTTAACGGTACCAAAACATGTAGAAATGGCCCTAACTCCAATCCCCTTCCCCACAGCCCCAGGCTATGTCCCCCAAAAGATTGCAGCCTACGTCAGTGCAGCACAAGTCCCACTACTACATGCAGTCTTTAATATACACTGCATACATTTGTGCGACGTGGGCTGGAGACGTTCACTCCACTCTTTTACCTGCAGAAATAAAATTACAAACGTTTACTCCACTCTTCCACCAGTGTAAAAAAGGAACAAACGTTTACTGCACTTTTTCACTCACACAATTAAAATAATAAACGTTTACTTCACTCTTTCACCTGCATAAACAAAATAACAAATGTTCACTCCACTCTTCCACCCACAGGAGAATGAGATCATCAAATCTGCTACAGACGGATACAGAAAACTGACACCACCAGAACTGGCCAGGTTTCCCATGGCAAAGTAAGTTGTGATGTGGACACAGAAATAGAAATCTGTGCTAGATACAAACTAAGATTTCTGTGCTAGATATACACACAAAGATATGTCCAAGATATAACAAAGAGATCTGTACTAGATACAGACATAAAGATATGCACTAGATACTGACATAAAGATCTGTGCTAGGTATAAACATGGAGGTATATACTACATATATGCATAGAGATCTGTGCTAGATATAAACATATAGATCTGTGCTAGATATAAACATATAGATCTGTGCTAGATATAAACATATAGATCTGTGCTAGATATAAACATATAGATCTGTGCTAGATATAAACATAGAGATCTGTGCTAACTATAGACATAGAGATCTGTGCAAGATATAAACATAGAGATTTTTGCTAGATACAGACATAAAGATCTGTGCTAAATATAAGTGTACTAGAAGCAAAGCCCAAGTACCAAGAAAAATAAAGAAAAAGAGTTCGTTAGGCTGGGGTGAACCAGAAATGCTCTAGCCCAGACATGTGTTGTGTAAAATCTAATCAGCAGTATAAGTAAAACTAGATACCATTAAATACCGGTCCTAATTCTAATCAAACAGCTGGAACTATAATTATCACATTCAACATCTGTTTATTTCACCGAACATAAGCTAACTTCTCCACAAAATTACAACACAACGGAAATCTATCCTAGAACCCATGTTGCGCTGAACCCAGGCAAATCAGAAACTACATAAGAAAGCCTAAGGCCAAGGAACAGATTCCCTCTGATTTATCACTTTCTGACCTGAAGTTTACCAGGTTTTTTGCTCGCTTTGAGCTTAATCAAATTTAGATAACAGCTGCCCAGGGCCTATCACATATACATATAGATCTGTGTCATATATAAACATACAGATATGTGCTAAAAATAAACAGAGATATATATACTAGATATAGATATAGAGATCTGTGCCATATATTAACATATAGATCTGTGCTAGATACAGACATACAGATCTGTGCTAAAAATAGACATAGAGATATGTGCTAGATAGAGACATAGAAATTTGTGCTAGAAATAGACTCGGGAATCTGTGCTAGAAATAGACATAGGAATCTGTGCTAGGTACAGACACAGAGATATGTGCTAGATACAGACACAGAGATCTAGACACAGACACAGAGATCTGTGCTAGATACAAACAAAAACATCTTTGCTAGATACAGACACAGAAATATGTGCTAGATATAGACATGGGAATATGTGCTAGGTAAAGACACAGAGATCTGTACCAGGTACAGACACAGAGATCTGAGCTAGATACAGACACAGAGATCTGTTCTAGAAATAGACATAGAAATATGTGCTAGGTAAAGACACAGAGATCTGTGCTAGATACAGACACAGAGATCTGTGCTAGATACAGACACAGAGATCTGTGCTAGATACAGACACAGAGATCTGAGCTAGATACAGACACAGAGATCTGTTCTAGAAATAGACATAGGAATATGTGCTAGTTAGACACAGAGATCTGTGCTAGATACAGACTCGCCCGGCTCTCTAGCGTAGTTGGCTAAACTGGATTGCACGGTGACCAGGTGACGAACTCCTTGTGGTCCGTGTTCACTCCCGGGGGTAGGCAGAAAAGCCACATTTCTTCCAGATTTACGGTATTTACAATGGAATCAAGGCCGAAAGGTTGCGATATCCATGATACCGAGCCTAAGGGTTAACAACTCGTGGCTTCTGGATACTAAAACAAACAAACAAACAAGATACAGACTCAGAGATTTCTGCCAGAAAAAGACATGGGAATCTGTGCTAGGTACAGAGAGATCTGTGCTAGATACAAACATGGGAATCTGTGCTAGGTGCAGCGAGATCTGCGCTAGATACAGACATGGGAATCTGTGCTAGGTACAGAGAGATCTGTGCTAGGTACAGACATGGTAATCTGTGCTAGGTACAGACATGGGAATCTGTGCTAGGTACAGACATGGGAATCTGTGCTAGGTACAGAAAGAGATATGTGCTAGATATAGACATGGGAATCTGTGCTAGGTACAGACATGGGAATCTGGGCTAGGTACAGACATGGACTGTGCTAGGTACAGACATGGGAATCTGTGCTAGGTACAGAAAGAGATCTGTGCTAGATATAGACATGGGAATCTGTGCTAGGTACAGACATGGGAATCTGTGCTAGGTACAGAAAGAGATATGTGCTAGGTACAGACATGGGAATATGTGCTAGGTACAGACATGGGAATTTGTGCTAGGTACAGACATGGGAATTTGTGCTAGGTACAGACATGGGAATCTGTGCTAGGTACAGAAAGAGATCTGTGTTAGATATAGACATGGGAATCTGTGCTAGGTACAGACATGGGAATCTGTGCTAGGCACAGACATGGGAATCTGTGCTAGGTACAGAGAGATCTGTGCTAGATATAGACATGGTAATCTGTGCTAGGTACAGAGAGATCTGTGCTATGTACAGAAAGAGATCTGTGCTAGATATAGACATGGGAATCTGTGCTAGGTACAGACATGGGAATCTGTGCTAGGTGCAGACATGGGAATCTGTGCTAGGTACAGACATGGGAATCTGTGCTAGGTACAGACATGGGAATCTGTGCTAGGTACAGAAAGAGATCTGTGCTAGATATAGACATGGGAATCTGTGCTAGGTACAGACATGGGAATCTGGGCTAGGTACAGACATGGGAATCTGTGCTAGGTACAGACATGGGAATCTGTGCTAGGTACAGAAAGAGATCTGTGCTAGATATAGACATGGGAATCTGTGCTAGGTACAGACATGGGAATCTGTGCTAGGTGCAGACATGGGAATCTGTGCTAGGTACAGACATGGGAATCTGTGCTAGGTACAGACATGGGAATCTGTGCTAGGTACAAAAAGAGATCTGTGCTAGATATAGACATGGGAATTTGTGCTAGGTACAGACATTGGAATCTGTGCTAGGTACAGAAAGAGATCTGTGCTAGGTACAGACATGGGAATCTGTGCTAGTTACAGACATGGGAATTTGTGCTAGGTACAGACATGGGAATCTGGGCTAGGTACAGACATGGTAATCTGTGCTAGGTACAGACATGGGAATCTGTGCTAGGTACAGAGAGATCTGTGCTAGGTACAGAGAGATCTGTGCTAGATATTGACATAGGAATCTGTGCTAGGTACAGAGAGATCTGTGCTAGATATAGACATGGGAATCTGTGCTAGATATAGACATGGGAATCTGTGCTAGATATAGACATGGGAATCTGTGCTAGATATAGACATGGGAATCTGTGCTAGATATAGACATGGGAATCTGTGCTAGATATAGACATGGGAATCTGTGCTAGATAAAGACATGGAAATCTGTGCTTGATACAGACATGGGAATCTGTGCTTGATACAGACATGGGAATCTGTGCTAGATAAAGACATGGAAATCTGTGCTTGATACAGACATGTGAATCTGTGCTTGATACAGACATGGGAATCTGTGCTTGATACAGACATGGGAATCTGTGCTTGATACAGACATTTGAATCTGTGCTAGATATAGACATGGGAATCTATGCTTGATTCAGACATAGGAATCTGTGCTTGATACAGACACAGAGATATGTGCTAGATACAGACACAGAGATCTAGACACAGACACAGAGATCTGTGCTAGATACAAACAAAAACATCTTTGCTAGATACAGACACAGAAATATGTGCTAGATATAGACATGGGAATATGTGCTAGGTAAAGACACAGAGATCTGTACCAGGTAGAGACACGGAGATCTGAGCTAGATACAGACACAGAGATCTGTTCTAGAAATAGACATAGGAATATGTGCTAGGTAAAGACACATAGATCTGTGCTAGATACAGACACAGAGATCTGTGCTAGATACAGACACAGAGATCTGTGCTAGATACAGACACAGAGATCTGTGCTAGATACAGACACAGAGATCTGAGCTAGATACAGACACAGAGATCTGTTCTAGAAATAGACATAGGAATTTGTGCTAGGTAAAGACACAGAGATCTGAGCTAGATACAGACACAGAGATCTGAGCTAGATACAGACACAGAGATCTGTTCTAGAAATAGACATAGGAATATGTGCTAGGTAAAGACACAGATATCTGTGCTAGATACAGACTCGCCCGGCTCTCTAGCGTAGTTGGCTAAACTGGATTGCACGGTGACCAGGTGACGAACTCCTTGTGGTCCGTGTTCACCCCCGGGGGTAGGCAGAAAAGCGACATTTCTTCCAGATTTACGGTATTTACAATGGAATCAAGGCCGAAAGGTTGATATATCTATGATACCGAGCCTAAGGGTTAACAACTCGTGGCTTCTGGATACTAAAACAAACAAACAAACAAGATACAGACTCAGAGATTTCTGCCAGAAAAAGACATGGGAATCTGTGCTAGGTACAGAGAGATCTGTGCTAGGTACAGACATGGTAATCTGTGCTAGGTACAGAGAGATCTGTGCTAGGTACAGAAAGAGATATGTGCTAGATATAGACATGGGAATCTGTGCTAGGTACAGACATGGGAATCTGTGCCAGGTGCAGACATGGGAATCTGTGCTAGGTACAGACATGGGAATCTGTGCTAGGTACAGACATGGGAATCTGTGCTAGGTACAGAAAGAGATCTGTGCTAAATATAGACATGGGAATCTGTGCTAGGTACAGACATGGGAATCTGGGCTAGATACAGACAGACATGGGAATCTGTGCTAGGTACAGACTAGATATAGACAGGGGAATCTGTGCTAGGTACAGAAAGAGATCTGTGCTAGATATAGACACATGGGAATCTGTGCTAGGTACAGACATGGGAATCTGTGCTAGGTACAGAAATGGATCTGTGCTAGGTACAGACATGGGAATCTGTGCTAGGTACAGACATTGGAATTTGTGCTAGGTACAGACATGGGAATCTGTGCTAGGTACAGAAAGAGATCTGTGCTAGATATAGACATGGGAATCTGTGCT